TGAAGTGTTGTAAACTCGTATGTTACACTGGACTGAACTTTTCATTATCTACTCTGTTACTGAAGGAAGTTAGTCTGTAGCATATGTATGATGAGTGAAGCATGGACTGCATTAGCATTTAACATAAGCCCTATATTTCGAAAGTAGCATGCATTTTGGAATAATATTTTAAAATGTTTGAAGGCTTTACAGTTTTCTTCCTGCAAATGTTTACTCCTCAAAGATATGATTATGCCATGCTTGTAAGCCATATTTCACATTTCTTTCTTTAGCTTAACTGTTTATATTCAATGTAATTATGCTATTTCACAAAGCATGAAACTGATGTATGCTAATTTTCAAACTGTATTTAAAAACCAGCCCTGAAACTGAGAATATGAGTTTAATGTTTGAAAGTTTGACCATTCCAGCATGAAAGCACAATTCCATAACTGTATTTCATGTTCGTGACCATTAGATAATTAGATAATTATGTAAAAGCAGTTCTGAACACTTTAGTCACTGTCATTACCCATTACAGTATTCATTAATGGTGGTGAATATATTTACTGCGTAGCACTAGGAGATGTTGGTAAGAAACACGCAACAGTTTTTATGCCTTTTGCATTTGTAGCTACACAGATTATTAGAACACTAATTAATTTGTGTGGTAATATAATTCACTTAGATATGTTAGTATCTTGTCCTGTGTTACTTGATGACTTACTTTCACTACAAAATAATTTTTTTTTGGCCAGTTTTGACACTGATGTTGATTCTCTTCTTGGGTTGTTACTTCATGTGGATATGAGCAATGTTTCCAACATTCTGGAAGGACATGCTGCTTCCATGTACCTTCAAAATGTCGGCAACATCCCCCACATCCATGCCGTCTTTAACAACCCAAGAACAAAATCAACATCAATAATTAACCACCATGAAAGCCTAAAATCAGTAATAGTTATGGCATTACTATTGTTGGATATATAATATGCAGTCACACTGAATGCATGGAAATTGTTGAGCAAGTTTGTATTAATGTTCTTTATTTTAGAGAAGAAATTAATATTTTAAGCAGTATGAGAAGAATTTGTCACCACTTCAGGTGCATTCGTTGCAGATTGTTTTGTTATGAAGCTAAACACACTGCACAGAGATTCAAACTATTTTTCTTATATTTAGGGAAATATGTAGTGTGATATTTAAAGCATTCCAATTAAAATTTGTTCCTTGACTTTTTTTTTTGTGATAACTGGTGACATTTGATTCAAGTTAATGTAAAGTGTAGGTTGCAATTGACCATTTGCTGAAATGAAAGACAGACTGTAGCAGACTTCATAGGTGTCATAGGTATCATTTCAGTTGTTCTGATGATATAAGATGTTGGCATACAACATCACTGTACACTAAGATTTAACCAACTGAACAGCCAATTGATTGACTAACTACTCTTCATGTTTAATAGCAGTTGATAGTATTTTACCTGATCAAGTTTCCATGTTACAAAGCATGTCTTCAAGTTCTACAACCCAATGACAAAAGCTGACTTTTGGATCATATTCTGAGCAGCTTGCTACTTGTTGAATGCTTGCATGTCTTACCTGTAGACTAAATTCCAAAACATGTTGATGCATACTAATTTTGGTTGAAACTTAAGAATAATGGATGCTTTACATGAAGAGCTACAAGACCTAAATGTGTTGCTACTTGCATCTCTGACATAACTCAGTAAATACTGATACAGCAAAAATATTTTGAACAGCCACTGTAGATCTGAAAAAAACACATATCCAATGTGTGTTTTCCCAAGCCTTTAACACTTTTGTGAGAAACTAATAGTCAGTTGAGAAACACTGCCTCATTACATACATTTTTAAAAGATTTTTCCAGTAAGGGTCAGTGGCATCTGGCCCATTGGCATATGATCAGCATGTATATATTAGTGAAATGCAATCCTGAGCCCCCACCCCGAGGTAAAGTAGGCACCTTCTCTGTTCCGGCGTTTCGGCAAAGAAAAACGAAAGAGAACAAACTGTACCAAATATTGTTACCAATAATAAAATAAGCCGTTCTTTGCTAATGTTCTAGATATATCCGAAATAAAAAATACTGGCGCGCCAAGGGTCTGAAATAATAATGCTTGCCAATACATTCTTAAACACGTCCCGAGTGTATGAAACTCATCGCTTTCCACGAAAACCAAATTTTAACCAAAATTGTACACTAGCCTTTGAGTTACGGCGGAGTGTTCCAGCTGATTGACATTCGATACATGCGGCATGGGTAAGCTCAAGGTTAGACTTATAGTAGGGGTGCCAACATTGTATTTTGTGTCAGAAAAAGAAGGTATGTTCAGGTATGTGTTATGAGGAGTTAGACGAGCGTGTGATTCTTAAACTGAACAAAATGAAATGCTGTAATAATAAGAAGCATACGAAATAAGTTACTGAACTCAGCTACCGTCGTAAATATCTTCAGCAATGTTTTTCGTTACACAACAGGCGCAACATCTCTGGATTTCGACTGTCACCCGCCGGGGCACAGAGAAATGCCGCGAAAGGTCCCAAAAGTTTGTTAGTGTTTGATCGGAAAATATTTGTAAGTTAATAAACATTTTGTGACGTGAACAATGTGTGATAATGCGCTATTGTGATTTACTGCAATGAAGGTTATTGTTAAGCCACAAACTGTGGCTATTATTAGTTATTTTATGATATTTATGTGAGCGTGCTGAAGAAAATAAGATATCTATCGTATGCAATTATTGGAACTGCTTCTTCAAGAACATGAGGACAAATGGATAATAGACCTGTCCCCAACATACCGGAACACACTGTCAAAAATGTACAGGTAAGTTCACAGTTAACCTTTTTAACATGAAATAGATTCCCTGTTTTTGTGTGTTCTCTGTCAAAAACACATTTTCTTTAACCTTGTGGATTGCATCCTGTTCTGTATTCAATAGTAATATGAACTGGACAGTCAACACAACGTAAAAAAGGATATCTTTATGGTGCCTGCTGACGACCTAAGTAACTGTCGAAACATGTAGTGTACACATGCTTAACAATAAACGCGTAAGAGGCACCACACCTATTTTGTCTCCACCTTGAAGCTACCCTTCTGTATGTTGTGCTAACGGTTCAGTTCACTTAATATTATTTTGATACCTCTAATTCCTGAGTGGGAGAAAACAAAGACGGACAAAATCTGATGTAGGTCTAACTCACATTAACATTTGTGTGAACATATCGAGTTCACGAATCACATACTGAAACTACTTTTGCATTCTAAAATAAAGTGAATGCTGCCACCCAACTTAACCTACAGACTACGTACAAGGCGTTATAATGTGCGAGTTGACGGAGATAGGTTAATTCTTTCAACAATAGTAGGCTGTATAAAAATCTGTTGTTTGTTTGAGTGTGTATTCCGAAGACGGCGAATCACACTGGTCAAAAAAACCATGGCGGTTACTTCAGGGTAATTGACTTTATTTCAGAATTTGTGGATGAGAGTTCAAGGGCACATCAGAATGACCTTCCATGATGCGTACATTTTGTCTACAGATAATAATTATATAACTACGGAAATTCACAGTGCAGTTTGTTTCCAATTTCTGTGATGAAATGGCGGATGCGGAGTATCCACAAAGTTTGAACCCATACCGTTGCATCATGTAATGAAGTCCGAAATAATAAATCATCAGATACAATAAGAACAATGAATTTATAGGAAAAAATAATTTAGATTATAATTTGCTCAGTATGTTTCTACCAGTCTTTGCTACCATCAGGGTCATAACGTGTGTCAATAGCAAGCGCACTCTGTTGCTTAAGTAACATCAAGTTAACTAGTGTATAAAAATCTTATGTTAATATCAAGATATGTCATATAGATCCTAAAGGGTTCTGACAGT